ATGTTTGTGACACTGAAAGAACAGGTCTCAGTGCTGAGTTGAGTGTACATTTGTGTTGGAGATGGCCCAAAGATACAAAACTGCTCCTGCTGCACACCTTTGGTCTTGTGTTGTAGCCTCTCCTTGAAGACAGGGAGAAATCAAGAAGAAAAGGACAGGCTGAGTTAATTGGACATGGGTCTAGGTTCCAGACCTTCCAGTACTTCTCTTGATAGGTTGATGCTTGAATAAAATTGGACACCTTTTGTTTTCTTACAAACTACAACTCTGGGAGCAGGAAGGGATTCCTTCCTCTCTCCTCTGCTGATCATAGCCACAAGCTTTGGCAACAAAGGCCAGATAATGGTACAGAGTCTTCCAGGAAAAAAAAAGAAAAGTGCTCTGGGTGTCAATATTTGCTTTCTTCCTTTCTTTTCCAGAGGTTTTTTTTGAGAATAAGTTGCTATTTAAAGCATGCAAAACACAACACAAATGCACAAAGCCTCCACTTTGGTTTGCTTTCCTCCTGTTCCCCTGCAGAGGAAGAAGGCTGGGCTGCTCTCAGAGAGGGCAGCTCTGGAGCAGCCCTGAGGAGGAGGCAGAGCCTTGCTGTCAGCAGATGGTGCACTCATCAGGAATAGAAACAAGAAATACTTTCCAGAGAGTGTCTGGCACTATGGCAGCCTTGTCTGGAATCAGTTAGGAAGAGGACAAGAAGGTCTTTGGTTGGTGTCTCCTTGCAATGTCAACTTTAGCTTGTTGGAAACTTCCCAGCTCATACTCAGAGATGGTTCTGTCCCCAGAAAACTCTTTGTTATGATATCACTGTTGGCTTTCGTCTGCAAATTACTGTACAACTTAAATGTCAGTATTCAAAACTTGAAGTGCACAGGATTTGTTCAGCCAGAAGCACAAATGAAATTTAGTTTGGGCTCCTGGCAAGACTTACATTCACATTTATCAAACTGACATTCAAACCAAAGAAGTAAAAATACAGCTAAAATATCAGGTGCCATTGAATGCCTGGAGAAACCATGGCAGGAGTGCTGCTTTTCTTTCCCTCTTATAATCAAATTTATCTACACTTCTGGACAAACATCTGCATGGAGTATTTAGTGGTTCTCTCTTTTTTCCCTTGGATCTGGTTTTGCATCTGAAATAAGCTGAGAGCTCAGCCAGCTTGGACAGGGTGTTTGTGGCTTGTGAAAACCCTTTCATGCTCACAGTGTCTGGGATGTCCAAATGCAGCCTCTCCAGCCTTGCTAGGCACCCCAGGTGTGTGAGTGAGCCAAACAGCAAAGATTCCAACTTCTAAAAGGTTGTCTTGCCCAGTAAAGCCAGTTCTGAGCTCCAGGCTTTTTGGACTTTTAGTGTGGGGCAGTAACTGGGTTCCAGCAAATAGCAGGACTTGCACAGGCCAGGTATGCCAAAGTGTTCTTCCTTTTCAAGCTTCTCATCTTGTAGCTCAACAGGATGAAAAAACTGTCCATGCTTTTGCCATCTGTCATATTAAACCAGTTCTTAAACTAGCTGTTGATATCTTAGTTAAAAATACTGTTTTTCTGAAGCTTTTGTCCCTCTGAATGGGATCTTCCACCTTTCTTTTTCACCTTTTCAGGCCTCTTCTGCCTGATGTTTTTAAATGGCCAATATTTACTTCCTCTTCAGTGCCATGGTGCTGGGATCTGTTCTGCAGACCCTTCCTGTTGCTGCTTGCATTGTTGCTGTTCTGCTTGGCACTTGTGAAGCTCAGCATGCCTGCGGTGGGCAGATGTTTCCAGATGTAGCTCTGCAGGACAGGTCCCTCATCATGCCAGCTGCTTGGAGGGATTCCTTGCTCCTAAGTCATGCTTTTCCCCCCATGTGAATTTGAGATGTTGAAGAAGGAATATTTCTGATACCCTGTCTCAGACCCTTCATGTGGCAAGGAAAGGCCTTGGAGAAACTGGAGGACGTGGATCAGTACCTGCACGTCCTCCCCTGTTTGTTTCCTGAAGATGGAGCCCTGTTTATAGCCAGACTGCACTAATGTTCCCTCTGGGGAGAAGGGAAGAGGAAGAAATGATCCAACAGGACACAACATCTTCTGCTCAGATGGGGAAAAAAACTAACAAAACTCCCCAAGAGTTATTAGAAGGTGGAAGTGGGGCAGGATTTCAATTTGTGGGGCATATCCAGAACTAAAGTTATTTTGGTTTTGGGTCATTGCCACAAACCAGAGGAACAACAAAGGGGATTTTTACATTTATTTTCAGACTTATCTGAGACATTGAGAAGGAACAGTCATTTTCAATGTCCGAGACAAAGAATGGGAAACAGGGAGTGCAAAAGTGGCCCATCTAGCAGAAATTGCTGCTAGCCCTACTTCAAAAGAGAAATAACAATTCTGTTAAAGGACAGGGCATTGGAAAAAACACCCTGGTACCGTGTTGTGTTCTCAGGTTTGTGTTCACAAGCTGTCAGAAGTGGGCGCCATGGTTTATGGTTTGTGTCTTTAAGGATGGCAGAACATGCTCTGCCCACCTCCTTTCTTTGTCTTGTGCTGCTGCAGATATCTTCTTTCAGGTTGAAACATCCCGTGGTTAGCTGATATTTGATGAAAAGATAAAGATGTTTTATGCTTCAGAAGAGGGAAATAAACATTTCCTCTCTTCTAGAGCTGATGCAATAAATGAGGCGTGTGTGGTTTAGAGTGGGTGTGTAGCTAAAACAACTAAATCACAAAAAGGAAGATTAGCTGTGATTGTAGAGCAGTGTGTGTCTTTATCCTTGGTTTGGCTTTGGCTCTGTTGTTCAGAGTTCAGGGTGAACTGCAGGAGGAATGAATTGTATGTGACACTTCACCTCACCAGGCTGGAACCTGAAATAGCAGGAATTGCTTTTGCAGAATGAGACACACAGGAAGGGAGAAGCATCATGGAAAAAAAGCAATTTGTTGCAGTTCTTCTGCTTAGATTTTTTCTCAGCTTTAACTAACTGATTACATGGAAAGTTTCTCTGGTTCTGTGTGTCATTTGGAATGGGAAAGGAGAGAGGTAGGATAGGCTAGAACAGCAGATCCAGGAGGTCCAGCAGCACTCGGCATGGCTGGTACACTTCAGGCTGTGGAGAAAGGATTTGCTGGAGAGTTAACAACCTTCAGATCTTCTGAGGGCTATTCTTCCTCTGATGAATGAAGTACCATGTACTTTTGGCTGTCATGACTGCAGATTAAGTACAGCAAGGGCATTTCACAGGTGAGTGCCTTCCAGCAGGCACGTGAGGCATCTGTTTAGACATCAGCCTTAGTTTTGAGCTCTGGTTCTTGGGCTTGAGACGCTGCCAGTTGTGCTGATGCTTTCGTTGGCAGAGAAGAAATGTGATGTCATAGAACCTAGTAGGTAGTGGAGATTGTTTCTGTAAAATTGGGTAGGCCTGGTGTTGCCTGATAGGAGGTTTTGAATAAAGCATCCAGCTTTCCCTGCAGTAAAAGCATTGAAGTGTTTGGATACCCGTGTACACAGGCAGTAAGGAAAGTGTCACTACTTTCCTGCCCATTGGCACGAGTGAAAGCAGAGCCTTCACATTTCTGCTGCCCTCATTCCGTGCTGCTGCCCAGAAACCTGATGGAAAGGAGGCAATCAAAACAATGGCAGCCTGGGTCTGGGATTGTCCTGACCCCTGTGGTTCAGAACAGGACACAACTGCTCACAGGGACACCTGGGTTACTCACAGGAGTGCAAAAGTGTTGGCAAAAGAGAGGCAATTTCGAGGCAATTCTGTCTGCCTTCTACTAACTTGTGGGGTATTTAATCTGCCCTCCTTGCTAGGTTTTGCCTGTCTCTATTTGTATTTGTTGCCTGTTACAAAGTGATGCCATGTAAAACCAGGAAATCCTTCCCTGCAGAGTTTATGCTCTGCTGCACAGGAGGGCTGAGGTATGAGTTAAAATGCACTGTGTGAGCTGTGATCAGCATGAATTGCAGAGATTTTTATGTTTTCACTCTGTTGCTGCTGGTGATGCTCTGCTGTTGTCAGCCAAGAAGGTTAGAGCTTGGAGTTTGTAAACATGCATATTTCAGGAAGCAACCGTGTTATGAAAGAGGAAGGCCAGCCTTTGGACAGGACAAATTGAAGTATTGCTTCTGTGCTTATGAGAGTTCTCCCTTGCAGCTCACCCCCCTGTGCCTGTAGGTGTGGTACAGCAGTGGTGGGGTTGTGTTTCCAGCTCACACTGCAGTGCTGCTCCCTCTCTGCGTGGGGAGCAGCACAGACACCCCTGTGCTCTATGGGGAGCAGCACAGACACCCCTGTGCTGTGTGGGGAGCAGCACAGACACCCCTGTGCTCTATGGGGAGCAGCACAGACACCCCTGTGCTGCAAGGCTGCTCCTCTGAGCAGCCTCCAGGCCAGGATCCTTCAGTCCATGCCAGGGACAGGGTATCTGTCACCATGGCCTGCTTCCCATGGGGCTGTTGGCCCTGCCAGTTGTTCTAAATCCAAGTAGAATTGAACATATTTAGATTTGTGTGCAGTCCTGGTAGATGTCTGGCATAACATTCCAGCAGCTGTGTGGAATTTGATATCTATGTTTTCCTTATATGTTATATTTGTATAAACTATGGAAATTGTACTTGGAGGCTGGTGAAAGTTAAAGTTTAGGGGTGCTTAGATTTGATTTTAGAGAATTTTCTTAGCCCTCAAGACCGGGGTTACAAGCAGTTTTCTTAGTTTCAGCAGTTGAAGCTTGTGTGAGCATCAGAGTCCTTAAAACAATCAGAATCCTTCAAACATTTAGAACTGAAAAAGAACAGAAATGCTTTTCTGACTACTACTGCTTTGAGCAATGATAATATAATGCCACATCAGTTTTTTACAGTAGATGTAACATGAACCTTATCCATGTGATGTAACAGCAGCCAGAAACTTCTCCACCTGAGTATTTAATGCCTTACAGAAAAGTGCCTTGCAGACCCCTTCTGTATGTGATACATTTTGCTGTTATATTTATTATGTTATGTTATGTTTATTATGTTTTCCAGTGTATTTGAAAAGGATGCCGGTGGAGCAGATTCCACTGTGAGTTCTAACCACCGCACCAGAAATCTCCTGGAGTTCTCAGCTGGCCAGGAGTCCAGCACAGCCCAGGAGGTGCCTGAGGGCATCGTTTCTGAGGAGAGTAACAGGTGAGATGGAAACCTATGACATATTTCAGGTGGCAGGGGGCAGTGGTGCTTTTAGCCCTCACTGCCTTGCTCACCTTCATGGCCAGTGCTCTTGCTGCTTTTACAGAGTACCTGAGTGCTAAACACAGTGTTTTGAAAGTTGATCAGTTTGCTTTGCAGATGAATATGGTGTTTTATCTCCCACAGTACCCAACACACACAGCTTCAGAAGTGTACACGTGGCTGTGCTGCACAGTGTTAGGGAACAGAGCACATCCACAAGTGCTTGTCACCAAGACTTTCAGGACCTTCTTAATTCAGCTGTTTGCTTTTTTCCTCTGATCTATATTTATGCTTGCATAGTTGTGATATTTGTCATATTATCTAGCTCTTTTTACTTTTCAAGCCAGGGTATTTATTTTCTTAGTTGCTCAAGAGAAGACTGGGGAAGTTCACAACTAAGAACACACTCTGAGCTTAGCAGTGTCTTTTTCATTTTAAAAAGTCCATCTGAGTCCATCCCTGTGCTTATCCATTATTTCATTAAATACTGGCTTTCAGGCTTCCTAGATCTCCAGCATGCAGTGCATAAGTGAACATATAATTGCCTCCAGATTGAAGTCTGGCTAATACAGCTCATGTTTTCCCCTTACAAGATTTATCCTATTAGACTGTCCCTTTCCAGTGGAGTGTTTTGGCTGGTTGAACAAAGCCAGGCACAGATGTGCAGAAAGCCCTCATGTATTTTGCCATGCAGAAAGAAGGCAATAAATCAGGAGCATTTTAAGGCTGTAGCCATGGTGAGGGCTTTGTATCCTACGTGGTACATTTCAGACCATGACCTGTGGGATAGAAGAGTGCAGTGCTTCTCTCAGGAGGATGTGCTTGTGCCTGTACCTCCTTTTCTTTCACTCTTTCACCCTGGGTTTGGCAGGCTGTGAGCTCTTTGCTGCATATTCTCTATCAGTCCTAGATGCAGTAGAGGGGAGAAGCAGACATGAAGTTGGAGAGAAAGCTGGGAGAGGGAGGGGCTATGAATAAGGCTTTCATAAGCTCTTACACCTGATTTTTCAGAAAGAACTTGAGGTTCAGGAGCTACAAGTGTGTGAAAACCAAGAGGACCAAAGCTGTTACATTGATAACCTGTCAAGAGAGAAACCCACACTAGGTATTTGGTGATAAATAGTTAATCCCTCAGGAACTGCTGAGAGTGTTATGGATTTTTGTACTGAGAAATACATGCTCCTTTTCACTTTTTATCAAAACCAAGCTAGATTCTGGAGACAGAGATATAAATCCTCTCCACTCAGTTGTAATATAGTTTGTGGCTGCTCAATTGTCACATACCTTATGGTCTTTCTAGCTGCATGGTTTTAGTGGATAATAAATTCAGTATTTCTGTAGCAAGTCTTGCACAGCTCTGGAATGAAAAAGCAAGTTGTGTCTGCTGAGATCACATAGTTTGCATACTATGAGAAATATTTTACAGACTACATATTCTATCAATATCTGACCTTCTTGGGAAGAGATCCAACATCTGCTAATGCTCATCTGTCTGCCCTGCATTGAGAGCTGTCAGCCCCCTTTGAGGGATTGACTGAGAACGTTGGATGTTTGATGGGAATTGTTTCTCACCTGTTTCTGAGCTCTCACGGGAGCAGCTGTAACATTCATGGGTCTGCTGGAGTTAGTGCTCGTTCTCTGGCTTTGGTCAAAGGGTCATGAAAAAGTTTTTTAAGGGGTCTTGACGTGGTTTTGTTGTTTTTTCCCAGGTATGACCGTTCTGTGTCTGATAACAAAGCACTAATGATAGTCTCAGAAGAACCACTGTTATACATTTCACCACCACAACCCCCCTGCCGGCCTCTGATCAACAGGACAGAGTCCCTGAGGTGAGCAAACACCCTGCTGTGAGCACTGAGAGTTTACTGGGAGTTGATCTATGAACTCTGTGTTGGCTGAGTGCTCCTGGACAGCTGGGAATGGTGCTGGTGTCCATTCCTGGGGTTTGTCCAGTACATGTCCAGTGTCTCCTAAGAGTCTGCACTGTCCAATGCCTGCTGTAAGGACAGATCCACTTGGATCTTTGTCATCTTCCCATGGATTTAGTGATGATTTTCACCACTCTCTTTTCACACTGGTCATTTGCAATAACCAAATAGCAATTTTCTGATTGTCTGGGGGATTTTAATGACTTAAAAGAGAAATCACTTAGTATGTGGAAATGTTAATGATATGGAAATCAAGTCCAGCTAAAAGTCTTTCCCTAAAAGTTATATGAGTGGTCTTCTATTCTTCAGCTTCTGATAGAAGCAGACTGAACCTGACATTGCAGATGTTCTCTGTTCACTGTTAGAAAACACCCAGCTCCACTTTTCCTGTAGATAGGAGTCACTAACCTTATCTCCATTCTCTTTGTCCATTCTTTCCCTCAGATTTATTTGCCATAATTTATCCTTAACCAATAATTTGTCTTGAATTGATCAACTTTTGATCATAAATTTCAGTAGTCCTAACAGTAATTTCAAAATTACTGTTTGTTTGCCAAAATAAATTACTGTATCTACTTTATGTGGGAACACCCGTGAATCTAATACTGTATAGATAAATCTTAAAATTGTATTTCCTTCCTGTGATATTAAAAATAAGTTATCATAATAGTAAAATTCAGTGTCTATGATGCCTTGTAGTGGCTACCTAGAACAGAGACTAGACAAGATTAAGAGAGTAAAAAGTTAAAACACACCCAGGGGTTACACCCAAAATGGACCATGGATCACAGATTTTCACACTTTTATAAGTTTGGTCTATTTGCATATTGGGGGTTAATCTTCCAGTTATAACTTCAGGTAATGAAGTAATTTACCCCAAATTTCCTGCCTCCAGCTCACTTTTGTTTCCATCTCTTGGGACCTGAGGCAGTGAGGTGTCCTTGATTCCAGAGAGGAATTGTTGTGTCTGACCAAAATGGGAGAACAGCAGCTGACACTACATATGGAGTTCAGAGTTATACACTAAAGAATTTCAGGATTACAAATACATGAAGAATATAAAATCTGGAATCCTGAGGCATCACCTCTGTGGTGGCTAAGCTGCTGCACACCCCTGAGCTGCTGTGCCAGCGTTGCTTGCAGCATGTGGTGGTGGTGGTGCACATTTTCTTAGCTGCTCAAGAGAAGACTGGGGCAGTTGACCACTAAGAACACACTCTGAGCTTAGCAGTGTTTTTTTCATTTAAAAAAGCCCATCTGAGTCCATCCCTGTGCTTGCTTCCCCAGGCTGACCCACGAGTTGCGGGGATGGGTGCACAGGCACGAGGTGGAGCGCACGCGGTCCCGGCGCCTCAGCAACAGCCAGCAGCAGCACAGAGCACGGGTGCCACAGGTGGGCAGGACACAGCTGAGAGTGCCCTGGGGCATCCCTGAGAGGGCCCTGAGCATTCCCTGGGACATCCCTGAGAGTGCCCTGAGCATTCCCTGGGGCATCCCTCACCATTCCCTGGGACATCCCTCACTCCTTTCCCTTGGCATAACAGACCGAATTGACCATCCTGCCCGTTACCAGGGCAGCCAGCACTCCCCATTTTAAACTGCTGAGTTTGGTTGATTATTATGTTGTCAGTTGTTTTCTTCCATTCCTGCTCTTGGATTCAGGGTTTTGAATTTTGTTAGCAGCCATCAAAATATGCTGAGCATTTTCTAAAATGAAATCAATCGTTATCCTTTTTATGGCTTCTCTGTAAGGATAAGCAATTGCTTAATAAAGAGAAATGCAACCTACAGCACATTCATCTGATTCACTGATAAGGGCCACAGCTGACTGATTGTGTTGAAATATTTCCATTGTTTAAATTTTTTGCTAGAGGGATTATTTTTTTTTTGTAAGACTACGGAATTACGAGACTTGTGCTCTGTTTCCCATTTCCTAAATTCTCTTTTATCTACATGGCATACTGATATCAAGGCTGAAATTAAGAAAATGAATTTTCGAAGTATTTAAATTGATTAGATGTAGTAACAGCTCTAAAAGGAATCGAGCATTACAATGTGGGAAATACTGCAGTTTTCTTAAGAAGAAGTGTTGTATATCCTTCAGATCCTTCTCACTCGTGTCCAGAGCAGAATGCTGGCATATTTAGAAATGTTGTCTACGGTACCAAGATCCCTTTCTTGTCTCTGAATGCTGACTTAAAATTTGGTTGTATTAAAATCTTGCTGGTTTTGTTGTTCCAGCTTGATTGCTGACCATTGCAGTTTCTCATGTTTCAGTGGAAAAATGCACATTTCTGGTGCAGGGCACTGATTGACCTCTGCCCCCCATTCTGTGTTGTATTTAATGCAGTGGCAAACCAAGGGAATGCTTATTGGTTTCACTTTGTGTCATCTTTTCTTTCTCCCCCTTTTTCAGAGCTCCCTCAGTGACAAGACAGATTCCCAGCTAATGGCCATGCCTTACAGAGACACCAGTCTCAGGTAAGGCAGAACAGCTCCTTTGGTATTGATTTCTGCTTAATAACCATCAGTTTTACCATCAGTTGGTAAAGAATGCTCATTTTCATCTTCTCAGGGTTCTTAATGCAGCTACTTTTCTACAGGTCCTGATTCTGTCCCTTAGCAAATAACTGCTTCTAATTATTTATATTACACTTAAAGGGACCCCTGTATCACAGCTCATGTATCCAGGGCCTTTCTAGCCATGAATTTTAAGAAAATCCTTGCTTTGCTCTCAAGAATCCCTATCTAAACAGATCTGAGTATTTAGGGGAAAACCAGGGGAACTGACTGGACTCTCAGTGAATATCCTAAGTAATTTTGTAAGAATATTTCAAAGGACCCTGAGTCTGCTAAGGGAAAGGTTTCTCTCATGTCTTCAAGAGTAGAGCCATTACAGCCAGCACCAGATTATCACGATGAATTTAAAGTACCATTGCATCTCACTTGAATTCTTTGTCTCCATCTGCTGCCTTTTCTCTGCTGATTATTGGGGCACGTTATTTCCTGATGTCCCCTCCTCATAACTACCCTGTCCTTCTTCCCTTCCCAATCCTTCTAGTGACGGGAAGTTGTGGACAGAAAAGATTTAGGAAAGCAAATTTCTCTCCCCTGATCTCTGTGTGAGACTGTCTGCTTTGAGAGGAGTGTAGGAGCAGGATGGAGCACAGAGGGGACTTTTGGTGAGAACAGCACCTGAAATGGTGCTGTGGGAAGTAAGGCAGCTGTGGCCTTTCCCTTTGCATTGCTGCTTTGAAAGCAGGATCAGCCTGGGGGAAAAGAGCAAGCTGCAGGCAAATGTTACAGAAAACAGACTGTCCAATTTTGGTAGGTCTTGACTTACAAGGAAAAAAAAAAATCTTCTTGAGTTCTACAGGCAGATGAAGGATAGCTGTTTGAACTGAGCACTGATGAACAAGCCTCATGCCATAAGGCAGTTTAATGCACATCCTTGCATTACTCTTGAAAAGAAATTATCTGGATTATTGGAAAGAGTGTGCAACAGCATGCAGCTCAGCATCTGTGGTGCTCCAAAGGAAGTGAGATTTTTTTGGGTTTTTTTTTTCAGATTAATGATGTTTATATGAACAGGACCAGTGAGTCATGGCAGCTGCATGCTGAGGCTGTCCTGGAGCTGCTAAGAACATAGAACAGATTTCCAGTTCCTCCCAGAGCCACCAGCTATTAGGTGCTCCATGAAATCATAGAATCATGGAGTAGTTTGGGTTGTGAAGGACCTCTGGAGATCTCTAGTCCAACATCCTGCTCCATCTCATGAGTGCCTTGCTGGCCCTTGGTGTTTGCATGAACGAGTAATCAAGCTCAGATTAGCTCCAAATTAATCTCTGTTTGCTGTGTGTGGAGGTTGGGGGCTGATTGCTCTTGTGCACAGTTCTGCAGGAGGGGATGTGCAGAGCAGAGCTCCCTGCTCCAGGACTTCCACCCCCATTCCAGAAAGGGCAACTGGCCTGGCAGGCTGCTTGCCACAGGACTCTGGTAGCAGTGGAAGGTGACAGCCTGCTCTTACTGCTGCTTGAGAAAAATCTCTTGGTGATGGATTTATTCCTTGTTGTATTTTAGAAATGTACTAAAATAATCTAATTCAAAACCTGGGTCAGCAGGAGACAGCCTGGGAGGGGAGGGATGCCTGGTCAGTGTCCTCACCACAAACACACGGTGTGCTGTTAAAGTGGAGGGAATTACAATGACAGGTTCAAGCTCCAGCTCATGGTTTCCTTGAGTACAGCTTTCCAGCATGATTAAATAAGTTATTTTGGAATGGGATTGGGGAAGTATAAATGATAGCACTATATGCTAGGAATCTCTCACCTTTCCAAGGTAAACAGTGGGTAAGTACCCTGATTGTAGAACTCACCAGTGTTTTGGCTTGGAATGGTTTAGGGCATCTTTTCCTTGTGTCTCACATGTGTAAGATGAGAACCGTGGAAAAGATAATCCAGAATTATGTGAATATCTTATTTTTGCTCCTCTGTCTCAATTGAAAATCAAGAGCAAACCAGGGGAAAGATCTTTGAGTTGACCAGAGGACACAGCAGAAAAAACAAAAAAAAAAAAAAAGAAAGGTGGGTGAGAAAGAAGGTGGATTTGTCATTTGATAGTAAATTAAAAGCTCTGTTTATGCTTAACTTTGCACTTCTTTCAATTTCAGTGGTTTGGAGTCTTAGCAATAAAAGAAAATTATTAAATTATTAAATTATTAGATATTTTATTTCAGAATGACATTTTATTCCTAAATTTATTTTCAGAAGTCATCACAAGTTTTCAGACACTGTAGGTTGAAAGTTTTTTTTCTGTTGAGCTAGCAGGCAGGTTTTTGCACAAACAGAAACAAATGTGGAAAACTTTGCCACAGTAAGACCTTTGAAGCACCTTGAACTTTCAGAAAGTATTGAGTAGTTTCATTGTCTTCACCTGTGTTCTGTGTTCCTCGTGCTTCTCTCAGTGGAGGAAGATACTTGTCACCAAGACTTTCAGGACCTTCCTCAGTTCAGCTGTTTGCTTTTTTTTTTCTCTGATCTATATTTTAACTTGCATAGTTGTGATATTTGTCATATTATCTAGCTCTTTTTACTTTTCAAGCCAGGGTATTTATTTTCTTAGTTGCTCAAGAGAAGACTGGGGAAGTTCACAACTAAGAACACACTCTGAGCTTAGCAGTGTCTTTTTCATTTAAAAAGTCCACCTGAGTCCATCCCTGTGCTTATCCATTATTTCATTAAATACTGGCTTTCAGACTTCCTAGATCTCCAGCATGCAGTGCATAAGTGAACATATAATTCCTTAAAAAGCAAGTCTTCAAAGTCATTGTCTGCCTAGAATTAACTGTCTTGTCTAAAATAATTACCTTTGCCCTTCTCTATTTCAGCAGGAACTCAGGGAATGAGCTGCAAGTGTATTATGCCTCTCCCAGGAGCTACCAAGACTTCTTTGAAGCAATTCACCGGAGGGAGGACACGTTCTACGTGGTGTCATTCCGCAGAGTAAGTGTGCCACGGGCTCATCCTGCCCTTCTCCTGTGTCCCTAAAACTGCTGCCCACGGACGTGCCAAGGATGCCTTAGTCCAGACTGAAGGTCAATTTGTTCCTTCTGAAATGATGCTCCTCTGTGTCCTTTGCAGTAACACGGCCAGATCATGGTCTGTGCAAAGCATGCCCATCACATTGGGAAGGGAAAGAGCTTGGAAGAAAACGTTGTAGTGCCAGGGCAAGAGAGCCCAAAATTGCATGAACCCTGTTGTCAAACACACATCAGAGCTATGTAATAGGGGTACAAATCTTTTGTGTTTCTGGGTTTAGGAACAAATGCACCCTCTGCATCAAGTATTACTGTTAACACATACAGTTTCTACCTTCCCCTAAAATTCTTGCATTTGCAGTTTTATGTGTCACACACTGCAGCTGTACAGGACTGTGATTTTTTTTGCTGTTTTGTGATTTGTAAGTTGACCCAGGTGAGCATGTCTGCTATCTGTGCTGAGATACAGCAGAGGCTTGTGCTGCAGCTTTGTCAGGCACAGCCTCACATCTGCAGCACAGTTAGTGATTTTAAAAGCTGTTATAAAATGGAATTTCAGGTGTCTAATGTCACTTTCTGCACTGCAAGCCTGACTAGTGTTGAAGCCAGGACAGTTGCAGCAGTGAGAAGCTGGTTGGGATGTGGTGATGGAAATGATCAAGGCAAACAACCTGGAGCTGGAGGAATTTGTTTCCTGCGTTCTGCAGAGGTCTTGATGAATCATTAGCTGTGTCTATATTGCACGTTGGGCTGACCCTTACTGAGCCTCCTGCCCTGCCATTTTGCAGTGGGGGTCTTAGATGAGAATTGTTGTGTGCATGTTCACACCCAGCTGTGATCCTCCCTGCAAAGCTCCATTTGTCTCCTCTTCATAGGAGTGTCCCCAGAGGGGTCCCAAGGTCGTGGGGGACCAGAAGTGGCCACAACAGCAGCTCACCCAGCTAAAGCCAGTTCTTGTGAGAGCACACAGATAAGCACAGCTGGTTTTAGCAGTTCCTGTGTTGTCAGAACTACCAATCTAGAGATGGTACACAGGTAATACAACCCTGTTCCACCTGGTGCACAGCAAGTTTCTTCATTTGTGAGGTGCACATCTGTAGAGAAGGTTCAGGCTAAATAAAAAGAGCAGTGCTCTTCTTCTTAGGATTGAAGTTTTGTGCTGAGTAGAAATATGAAGTTGCTTTCCAGTCTTGGGATTACTGGGTTGTGTCACAAGGCTGGAATTTTGTTATTAAACGCTTGGCATGTTCTGCTGTTCTTTCAGCTAGCAACACAAATACAGCCAGCACCAGGCTCCACATATCCTGAGGATGAGGAGAAGGGAGAGGAGAATATAAAATTTTTCCTGGAAGCTCTGAAGACAAAGCAGAGCAGTGTTTGTGGAGCTCTGCACTTGGGGCCATTGGTGCAGCCCACCTGAACGCTGTTCATGTCCATAGCCCTGTTTACACTGTCGGGTTAATGACCTGGAAGTTGTCAGCTCTCGTTTCAAGTCACAGAGCTGTCCTTGGAAACACTGAGCCTGTGCCACAGAATCCCTGCAGCTCTGCTCTCTTGCAGGGAGAGCTGGGGGGAGGCTTTTAAACCCCTCTATGAAGTTTATTTGGTTGCAAAGCTTTTGGTATTTCTGTTTTATGAATGAAATGTCCTCAAATAGAAGGCAGTTCCATGCATTACCTCATTTATTGTTTTAACAGGGCAAACCTGATCTAGCAGCAGGCTCTGCCCTGAGGCACTTTTCAATGACTTGCTTGGATTCCTTTGTGAGTGCAGAAGAAAGGACTCCTGCACAGCCCGAGGGGTGCCATCAGCAGGGCCCCAGCCTGGGAGGTGCCCTTTCACCTCCTCCTGGGGACTGCTGACTTCATTTTCTCTGGCCCCCAGCTCCCCTTTCAGTGCTGATGAGGAGCTGGCAGGGGGCTGGTTCCTCCCCAGGGCTGTCCCACAGCTCTCTCGTGCTGCTTGGCTTGTCCTGGTGAGGAGCCCAGGCCTGGAGATGAAAGGTTTGTTCTCCTCTCTGCTGCTTGCCCTGCAGACACTCCCCCACCCTTAATAAGCTCTTAAAGCCCTGTGACATAAAAACCAGAACAAGAATCACTCAGTGCAAAGTGGCAGGGAGTGGGTGCTTCTGGTGGAAGGTGGGACTGTGGATCTCAGGAGTTCCCTTCCACTGATGTCCCTAGATCCTCTGTCCCCATTTCCTGCTCTGTGCCTGCATTTCTCCTGGATGCATCTGATAAAATGTATTGGGCTTTGTGTGTTCTCCCTTGCACTGCAGGAGTTGTGCCCTGATTTCCTTGGATTTTCTAGAAAATGGGATTTGCTAGGGCTACCCCTGCCTCTTACATGGTAGGACTCAGCCAAGATTTCTGGAAGTGCAGGGTTGGGAAATAAAGCTCCTGCACACTGCCTGTTCTTCTGGTGATGCTTGCTACCTGTAAGACTGAGATTCCCATGATCTCAGCAAGTTAATTTTCTTTCCTTGCCTTGGAACGCTTGCAGGTCTGCATATTTACAGTTGAAGTTTACTTTTTTGGTTTTTTTTTTTTTTTCCTTTTTAAGGAGGAGAGAGGAAAATAAAGTAGCATTTGGATAAGTCCATAGAAGAAGCAGGGCTTTTGCTCTGGGTGTCTAGAGAAATTAATTTGTTGCTGTTATCAGGGGAATTTGTAATGTCATTTTTAAACACAGGAAGAGTCTGCTGCTCTGCCAAGCCCTTTGATTTCTGCTCTGTAATGTCTGTGATACCAAGTCTGCTTGAGGTGTGGGTACAAAACCCCACCTGGCTGCCTCTCTGTGAGCCTGGCACCCACACAGCTCTGCCAGAGCTCACATCTGGTGTGCCACAGAGTACTCAGGCCTTGAGATTGGTTCTAGAATTACCTGAATGGCTAGCTTGATTTGAAAAGTAATTAAGTAAATCGTTGGAGAAAATAAATCCCTTCCAATTTTCTTTGGCCTGTAAATGCTGCTGCAGATCATTCCACCCTGGTGTGGTTGGGATCAGAGTCCCCACAACCTGGAGTGATTAAGCAGTAGATTTCTCCATCCTGGAAGGTTCACTCAGTGACACTTTGGTGACATCTCTGCAGGCTTAGTTAAGGACAGTGACATTTTTTAGGGTAAGAATGTAATTGCTATTCTTAAGGAAAACACAGTTTAAAGTTTAATTCACTTGGGAAATTCAAGGGACTTCTGGCATTTCCTCTCACTACTTTTTCTATTTCAAAGCACAAATGTCTCCTAATATCAAAGTTTGCCACTTGCATATATTGCAGTGCATATAGAGAATCTTACAGTAGGATGTAGTAAAAAGTAGATATTAAATAGTGATTCTGTTTATTAGAGCAAGAGTGATGCTGGACCTGTGAGAATCAATGGCAAAACCTTTACCAACTTCTCTAAGACCAGGATTTTGCTTTGTAAATTTCTGCTTCAGTACCATAAACCATGGAGCTTCAGGGAAACCTCTTATTATGAAAGTAAATTTCTGGTTCTACAAGCCAACATCTGCAGTAAGCATTTAAGGGTTTCTCAAGTTCTGCAGACAATTTTTTGCTGAAATAATTAAGCCAAATTTCAGTCAGAACTTTTGTTCTTTCTGTGTTTGCCAGGAATAAAAATATCTTAGGTTGTGATGTGCTTCTGTTGATAATAAGGCTGTGCTGTGCTAATTGTATTTGAGGTGATATAATTGTATTTGGGATGATCTGTTACGTTCAGGAAGCAAAAGATTATAAAGCCTGGCTTTATGACATATATTCTATATAACATGCTTGTGCAGCAGCAGTTTGCTGTGCTGCACACACTTCTGGCAACAATAATTTGAATATATCAGCATGAGGGAGGTTGTAATTCACTGCACTCCTGATGCCATCTACATCCTGCAGGCAAAACTGCTCCATAAGAAGTTGGCTTCAGATGATGTTTCACAGCCAGAAATTCAGTCCTAACATATACTTTTCCTCCTACTCTGTTGCACTTGACAATGGGTGGTTTTTACTGAACATGGAATTTTCTGCTGTTGACTTTGTTGTGGATTTCTGCAGTCTGGGATGTGTAATTTGGTGTTTCATTCAGATGAATTGATTGGATCCACATAGTCCTGCTGCTCTGGAGACAGAGCAGCTCTTCTGTGTGTTTGAGCCCTGTGGATTTGCAACTGCTGCAAGTTGACATGCAGATTTTGGAAAGATTTTACAAACTGCCCTTTTTGCTGTGGAGCTATTCAGAGGAAAAATTTTAGGATTTTTAGATCTTGTCCTATATTTTATAAATATGCTGAGAATAATATATGGTAAAAGAACCGAGGCTCAGGGCTTAGTATCCATGATGAAATTGTCTGTCCTTTGCAAAGCAGAGGTCACCCTTTAGCCTGTCTTCTCTCTGATGCCAATTCATGCCTCTCTGGGAGAACTGCAGAAAGCAAACAGTGTGATTGTGCTTCAGCATGCCCTGGAGCTCAGTGAGTCAGCCTGTCAAACTACAGCTGTATTTGACTTTCAAACTTGAAAATCCATTATGAAAACCTCCTGTTTCCATCTAAGTGTCGATAGTGAAAATTAAGTCTGGCCTGTTGCATTCTTTGTTACAAATTCCCTCTTTTCTGGCCAGACTTTGGATTCTTTCTGTGTCAGGGAATTTTCTCCTTCTGAATCCCTGGTGAGAAAACAATGAAGCAAGCTTTCTTTCTGGTCTTTCTTGAACTGTCTTCCTTTCTGATATGGAATATTTCAGGTAGGTGTGGAGGAGGGAGAGATGACTTTCAAAGGGACTCAGAGGTGATGGGGAGAAGGTTTCTCTGTGCTCTTGCTGTTACTGAGCTAGGGAAGATGTTGCTTTTGGTAGCATCTTAGAGCTTAGTCTGAAAAAATCTCCAGAGAGAAATCTAATAATCTAAAATCAAGTCTAAAAAAATATGTTGGTCTGTAGAACACAAATAGCCTCACCTCAGTCCTGGGATTC